ACTCGGAACATACAAGCTAAAGCGCCCCAATGGGACCGAGGTTCCTAGGCATTGGAATGTACACACCACCTAGTCAAATTCTATCAATAGCATATGAGTGGTCAAGCCCTCATAACTCACAAATGTACGTTGATCAACGGCCCAAGGCCCCTTCTTTCCCAGAAGAATAAAGATGTGTTAAAACACAAAGTACCAAGTACAAAGTGCATATGAGTGGCCAAGCCCTCATCACTCACCAATATACGTGATCAAAGGCACAATGCCCCTTCCTCTCATAAGGATGAATAAAAGTGTAATATCATTACACAAAGTACCAAGTACCAAGTGCGCGAAATACGCCCACCACTCTTAAAAACACCAAGTGTTTCTTAGTAAGTCGTTCCCCTCGAGGACGCCCCCATGCATACATTACTTCATGCATGCTTGTACATGCACATATATATAAAAAACCGGGGGTACAACACCCTTCGGCACCGGAAGGTACCAAGTACCTCCGGACATTTGTGTTTCACACACAAATAAAACTCTTCCCTGAAACGCTTTCCGCACATTCCCCAAGGGAATGGCAGGCAACGGACTATGTCCCGGACCCAGGATCCGACTTTCAAAAATGAAACGCTTCCTGCGCTATCCCCCAAGGGGAAGCAGGCAACAGACCATGTCTCGGGCTGAGGGAACGACTTTCAAAACTGAGGCGCTTTCCGCGCCATCCCCCAAGGGGAGGCAGGCAAGAGACGATGTCTCGGGCCGAGGAAACGACCCTCAAACCCCTCGGGATCAGGAAGGTCAATCCCCGAGGAGGGAGCCTTCGGTGTTTACCGTTGCCTCCCACATAGGTCAAGCCTCCCAAGAAACCAAGTTTCTTGAAGCCCCCCTAATACAAAAAAAATGGATATAGTAGGGGGAGTAAACTTGTTATACAACAGGAACCCCATCATAAGGTTCAATTTCCCGAAGGCTTTTTTGCTCAAAAATTGAAGAAATCTTCAAGTCCGAAGGAAAACCCTTCAGGCTTACTGAATGACTGAAGGCATCCCAAGGAAAACCCTTCAACCTTACTCAAGCATTGAGGCCTTTTTCTCTGGGGTACCTCGCTATTTCCAAAGGCTGACTCATGCTAGCATATTACTTAAGGCTACAACAAGTACATGAATTTTACTCAGACACTGTGGAAATTTGTCTAAATCCACAATGTAAGCACCCCCGGGCGATTAGCCTCAAGCTGGAATCTTACCAAGGGCCATCCCCCCTACACACTTCAAGGGCTCAACCACAACTCGAGGCATCAATGTTACATGTGAGGTTCGAACTTCACTCACAACGAGGGCTATACCATTTCAAGATGAGGGTCTAACTACTGAGGGACGTGTTCACAAGGTCTCGAGGGCTTAGGTGCACTGTTTTCTGCAAATTACACTAAGGTGAAAATTTCCCAAGTCCACAAGTATAAGGCTCCCGGACAGACCTTATGAGCCGAGGGGTTGGTATGAAAGTTTTTCCTGAAAGTTCCCTAAGTCCACAATCACATACCCCTCGGGTACATTATGAGGGACTCCATGCTCCGCGTAAAAGAAAGCCATATGCCGAAGGCAACAATCTCAGATCCTAGTTTTAAGTGCAAGATTTTTCACAAACTTTGCTAAAGGTGAAAATTTTCTAAGTGCACAATCATTGGGCTCCCGACAACCCTATAGCCCGAAGGCATGACAACTACTTTTCCTTAGAAAAATTTTCTAAGTCCACAATTATGGAGGTCCCGGGAATTCTACAGAGCGAGAGGATGCTTACATGGTATCTAGAGGGGGTTAGCCGAGGGCATGGAACCAAGTTTTCCTTGATAAATTTCCCAAGTCCAAATCATTTAGCCCTCGGACAACTTATGAGGCCTCACAACACAAACATACATTTTCATACAAAAGTGAAGAGGGCATCATGGAGGTAAAGAGTAAGTAAGCCGAAGGCATCGACAAAACATTCAGCCACAGAGATAATAAGAAGGAAGCATGCGGTGCACAAAACACAGGTCAAAGAAACCGAAGGCAGCATTGCAACATTCATTCAAAAATACCCAAAGTCAAAAGTATTGTGTTTACATACAAGGCCGAAGCCGGAGGCCTACTGATCTATTACAACAAAAAATATACTAAGGAAAATATCCCAAGTATCAGCTTCTTGGAGATCCTCATTCAGCTTCAAGGCTACATCATCCTCGGTCTCTTCCTCGTCATCAACACACCTCGTCAGCTCTGAGTCCTCGAGCAGCTGCCTCTCTTCACCAGGAGGGAGGGGGACACGAACGTCTGGCTGCAGAGGGGGGATGCCATAGGGAGCCGGATCGAAATCCTTGGGGTCCACGCCGAAATGTCGGGCCAGCTTCCGGTATACAAGGGCTTGAGTGAAAAAATCGCCACCCTCATATAGCTCTTGCCCCTCCGGGCAAGCCACAAAGCGACGGGGCCTCCTACCCAATCATCGACCGAAGCTTCCACGCCCGAAGCCAACCATTACTTCTGATCCTCAGCTTTCCAGCCCTCGGCAATGAAGGCAGCGACTGCGTCTTTCTCAGCTTGAAGGACCGCCTCCTTCTGGGCCTCCTCGACTTTCTCAGCATCGTCCTTTCCCTCGGCCCTGGCGGCATCCAGCTTCTGGTCCATCGCCTCGGTAGCTAACCGGAGGGTCTCCTCCATCTCCGCCATCTCTCTGAAAACCTTACGTCTCCATGGAATTCCTTGGATGTTGCTTCTCACAAACAACTATTTACATAAAACGATAACTTTTCATCCGGAATGTTTTCAAATTAAAGCATAAAGCTTCATCTTATACGGAGTAGCTTATATATATTTTTAAACTAGATTTCCACGTTTATGAAAACAATATCAGAAGATCAGAACTCTTAATTCTGATTGTCTAAGAATTTTGAATCTCAGCCCGTCATTATTGTTAAAAGAAAACGAAATCCAACCCATGAATCATCTGTATAGAGCATACCAATAACCAAGAATTGCAGAATTTTACTGAAAAGAACAAGAAAGCCTTATGCTCTGTTCTAACTATACTCTGTGAGGAAATTAATTAATTTGAGAAAACGACGAAGATGAATAGGGTTGACTATATTAAATACTTCGTTTAGTGTATAACTCGAATTCTGCGTTTGTAGTGATCAAAAGAGTCTTAACCTCAAGCTAAATTGAGCACCACTCTGCGAACTTCTTGTTTGAGAAAGCCGGTCATAACCGAGAGACGGTTATTGGACTAAAATGCAAATAAACAAATTATTGGATTGAATATGATACATGGTCATTATTTTATCATGAGTTTTAAATATCCTCGTGTAGTAGTTTTAGTGGGCCATCTGCCCAAAGGTATGATACACTTTTAATTAATAGAGGCACGGTAGAAAGACCCTTAAACCATATCTCTTTTTGTTTTTATTATTGGTTTTCGAAATGCATTTTTTCCTAATTATAAAATCAAAGCATACCTAACGACAAAAAGTTACATTACACTAGATAAAGTATACAAACGTATTTTATCACTTCATCATATACAAAGTCTTTAAATAATGGGTTGCAATTAATACGACTCTATAACCACATTCAAGCCTTAATCCAAAAAAAAACTGCGGTCGACTTACATGAATCGATCCATGATATCAGAATTAAAAAGAGAAAAAAATAACAAAATGGAAAAAGGTAAAATAAAATAGATAAGATTTTGGCCGCAATGGCGGAGAGATTTTGGTTCACGGGAAAAAACCGCAATGTGGTTGCAACGGGGGTAGCATCGGTCGATCAGGCCGCATCTGACCATATTGAGCTGCACCGGGGGCAACACTAATTTATCCTTTTTTTTATTTCGTTTAGACGTAAAAATAATTTACACCGCATCGGCCGCAATACGCATCACAACGGCCTTAACAGCCGCAACAGTGATCGCAATTTAAAACATTGATATGATGGAGAATTTAATATAATTATTTAACAAACATGAATTTATAATTAGTTATGGTTAGTTCATAATAAAAATTTATTATATTCACCTTTGGATCTTATAAATAATTCACATTATTATCTATTTGCATTTTTCATTTTAACTCATATCAAATTGATGTGCTACCAGGGCATGCCCCTGGGCTTTACGATACAAAATGTATTTTTAGAATTAATACACGGAGTAGTAAAGTTTTGAAATAGTATATTTGATGGAGTTTAATCCAACTACGAGAGCTAAATATACGTAGAGTATAGAAATAATATCGAAAACAATATGGCAGCGTAAGGCAGTATTACTCTTATTCCGGAATGCGAATTGTCGATTCTCTGGTATGTTTACATGAAGTATTTATAGAGATTAGGAAGTAGAATTATGGGAGGAATCTAATAAAATAAATGCTTAATTAATGAAACTATATTCTTACTCGAAATAGAACTCCCTTCCCTTCCTGCTTCATTCTCACGCCATAATTGTTTCCTAGTTCCGGTTGAGTCCTGCCTGTTGCCAAATATCTATCATCGAATGATATCTTGCCACGTAGGCCCTAGGAATATCCCGACCTCACTAGAACTCCACCCAAGCTCAAAGTCTGCTGTCCAGCCCGACCTGACTGTGGGTTCCTATCGTGGGCTTGATTCCTAATAGGCCGAGCAGCTTATTCAATATAAATCCCGTTTATGGGCTGATCCTGATAATTAGGCTGATCCCGTCATGGACTGATCCCGTTAATGAGCTAATCCTGTTAATTGAACTGATCCCGCTTATGGGCTAATCCTGTTAATCAGGCTGATCCCGTCATGGGCTAGGTTACATAATTGGGCCATGGTTTAGAATCCATGGTACCATCAAGGCATCAATATTATACTAACAATATAAAATTGTGATATAAAAATCATAAAAGGGAGAATTGGATTAAAATTGTGATTTAAAATTTATTTTTTTGGTGTTTTTTTGAATTTATTTTATCTATTTAAAGTTAATAAAGGTACATTTGCTCCGGTATTTTTGCACCTTTTAAAAGTTTCGGAGTATATATGCACTTCCACATAAACTTAAAGAATATATTTGTTCCAAAAAATAGAACAAGAGTATATTTATTCTCACACCCATACTAGAAGGGTATATTTGTACCTTTTCCCTTAATTAATTTAGTGGGATGTGGCCATTACAACAGATAAGCTCACTTATCATGGATTCATGGCAATGTAAAATGATGTTGGGTACACACTTTTTGTACACATATGGTGTAGACTCCTTAGTTGTTTGTCTGCACATATAATTCGTTCAGAAGCTAGTAGATAGACAACTATTAGATGTGTGCATCATTTGTGTACACCAAACATCGCTCTCATGCAATTGCCCTAACAAGCCTCAAAACCAATTATCATCGTGCGTTCGTAAGGCACACTTGCTAAACATCGGTGTTTTTGCTTTTAGCCCAAATCATGACAAGAGAGAACCCCATTAGTGCCATTATCACAACCTGCAAATGGTGAGGGGTACGTATCGTTCAGCACAACGTGGTAAAATAAAGCAACAAATTAGAACCGGCTAAATCCAATAAGATTATGCTGAAACAATTTAATTGACTTAATCTGCTGAATTATGGAAAGGTTATATTTAAAATGTATTTCCGTAATAAAATAAAGAAAAATGGGTAAGATAGATGTGGTTAAAAACTGGTGGTTAGCCTATTTAAAAAATTGCTGCCTATTTACAAATCTGATAATTCAGCAGAATTAAATGTTTCTGATAATTAGATTTTAACCAGCGTGCAGTCTATTTAAGATTTTTTAAATAGGCTAAACACTGGTCCAGTCCAGGTCTATTTTGGAGAGACAAATTGGTCCTGATCTGCAACAGTAATTACGAACAAGGCGCACCCCTAGATGTGGTTAAACTGGTTATACAAGAAAATATTCAACTTTGATACATGCAAATACTCGGGAAGTATAGTTTGGTTATGTACAAGGTAGAGTTTGGTAATAGTTTTTTCGCTTCTCTATCAAAGTGAACTAAACCAAAAATGAACAACGGAACATCAAGTAAACAAAACAAAAAACGAATCAAACTATGCTTGGTTTTATATAGGCCATCATTTCTCCAATCCATTTGAAACCAAAACAGCGGGATGAAGAAAACTTACCGAAATAGCGGGAGGGACACCAACGAGAGGATCTTGGAAAAACTTATTTGCAAGCGCAAGGGCCAAGAGGCTGCTCTGCATTCCTGTGCAAGCAACGACACAGTTTGAAAGGAGACAACAATGAAATGACAGATGAGATAGATCTTTAATACGGAGTACTATGTACATGCAGTATATAGCAAAGAAACAAACATGTAAGCAAACCTGTTTCATAGGCGAGTGTTCTCTGCAGAGCTGCTTTAACATCTGGAGCATGAGGAAAGGCTGCAGCACCTCCAAGAGCATATCCGCAAACAAAGGCTGACAAATGAAAGGCTACCACGAGCAACAAAACAGATAACCCAGAAGGGGAAACAACAGACTGTATGTTGATGGCAAGTGGAGCTCCAACACATAGAGAAGTCACAAAAACTGACAGTGGGGGCAAAAACGGCCTAATCGCACTACAAGTCTTGGGAAACAATCTGCTCGATGCAGATTGAGAGAGAAATACAAACCAAAACACGAATGAATGAATCATGTCAGGAAACGGTGTGTACCATCATGGTTGGTAGTACATTTGCTTACCTTTTGAGAAGCAAGCCGCCAGCAATAGGTGCAACCACGATCTGTGTAATATTGGAAATCATTCCTCTAACATCAACGGGCAGCCTTTTCCCAATCAGTAACAATGATAACAACGGTGTGACAAGGACGGCAGATGCCGTAGACAATGAAGTCATCACAATACTAAGGGGGGCCATTGATGGGTCCGTTAGATATGTGGCGTAATTGGACAGTTGTGCCCCACTCACGCATGAAGTCAACATTATCCCTGCCCCTGCATCATCATATACTTCAATGAGGAAGCTCGGCAGGGGACTAAACCGGAATTTTTCAGGCCGCAGACATAAGTGACAGTCTTATTTTCTATTATTGGGAGTCAACCAATCAATAAGACAGGCAGACAGACTATATTTACCTAAGGAAGTTGGTAGACCAAGTGCTGTTATTGCAAGTGTACCAAATAGATACCCCAGGAGGGGCTTCATAACAAATTGACCAATATAACCTGCTACAATGGCTGCAGGTCTATTCAGGGCTTCTACGAAATCCTTCTCATTTGAATTCACTCCAACTGCAAACATCAAAAACCCCAATGCTGGGGCGTAGTACCTGAAAATGGTAAAGCCGCCAAAGGTCCACAGCAAAATCAGTAAATGCCAGCTTTTGCCCTACATCACTTCTTTTTAAATTACTTACATTCTTTTGATGCAGTTTGGGATGATGAGGTAGTGTATATAAGAAACAAACTCTTCTGACTTGTTTAATTCACGGATTCCGGAAGGGGAGGGGTAATAGTGTTTATATATAATAACTTGCACACTCTAATGGCTCAAAATAAATTCAAGATATAAAAAACTATATAGATATACTTGGTCTGACACCATATAGTTATTTATAGCCTAAAGCAAACTCATCATTTCATTTTCATTTACCCCAGTGCAGCACAGGCTCCCACCTACGGTGGGGTAAGGGGGGGTCGGATGTACGCAGTCTTACCCCTGTACTAAAGCACAGAGAGACTGTTTCCGGATGACCCATAGTGAAAATCGCGTCCAAAATTGCATGGGCTGACTGCTGCTTCATAACAAAGAAGCGCAGACAGTTTAGTGAGCCATTTTGCTTTATTCCATCATATTCTCAAGCCAAAAAATAATGAATCTTTGACTCCATTGCAGATGATGGAAAATAAAGCAAACTAATATAGATAAAAAAAATTAGTAATTCATAGAAAAAAATCAACCATCCCCTCTTGCTCCCTCCGAAATCCCGGAACCTAAGAAATCCGAAGCAAAGTCTATTAGAGAAGGAATAACTCTAGACCAATCTCACTAACAAATAAGAGCTGGTGTACGACCAGGAGCGGAGCAAAGGGGGGGTCAGGGTGGTCAGCCGACCCCGCTGAAAGTTCAAGAATGTAGAGCTCTGAAATACCTTCGATTTGATAGATTATGGGTCCTGTAACTCATTACGAGTAAAGAGTTATGACATCTGGAAAAATCAGCACCATTTTAACTTGAAATAAGCAAAATTTGATGTGTGATGTTGATTATATTTTTAAATTTAAAAATAAAACACCTTATTCAGTCATTAGTTGTGTGACCATTATGATACATTACATATATATCAATACATTAACTGAAAAGGGCTCATTAAAGTATCATTTATCTCAGCTACATTACATATGAAACATTTAATTCAAGTATTGTATAATAATTGTCCATCATTTTGATACTGTGTATAATTAAACTCTGACCCCCCTCACACACTTTTCTGGCTCCGCCCCTGTGTACGACCATTTATAAATATCTTTGAAGTTAATGAGCATGAGGTTCATATGTGACATTTTGTGAGTAGTGCATACGATAAGCATTAAGAAACAACGTTAGACAAACCTGCTCGTGAACCATGTGAAAGAAGGTGGATAGACAAGAGCCAAAATTGTACTACCAAGAACCACATGTGGCAGGATGGAATTTGCATCCCTCAAAACTGTCACAAAAGAATTTCCCTTTGGCGTAAATATCTGAAAGGTCTCACCCCAAAAACAAATAATAATTGAAATTAAACCTCATCAATGTACTGCAATTATTTTGAAGTTTGAACACAACATAAAGAAACATAGATTAAAAGAATCATTTTGAGACAATGCTTGAGTTGAATCATTTATACGTGACTGGGATACAAGTTAGTTCAAGTTATTATTTCGATTATAAGTTTAAAGCAGATAATGAGCCAATAAGACATTAATTTTCAAAGTGCACTCACCATCAATAACAATAATGTCCAAGTCTTAGTCCCAAAAGATTTTGGAGTTGGCTAACATGAATAAATACATGATATCAGAGCCAAAAGGGGAAAAAACATCATTCATCCATTCATTATCATTACCTCAGCCTTGTTCTTAAATAAGGGAGTAAAAGTACATTTCCGCCAACAGCCAACTCGCTGGCATTTTGTTGTTTCTTCAAATCTTGTTAAAGAAACGTCAAAGTGCACTCATCAAATTAGAAAAATAAAGCATATGTTTATAATTCTATAGTATATTAAACTTGTGTACACGGGCCAATATCAAAGTTTACTTATTTCAAATTTTAGAATGAGTTACAGGACTCATATTAAACAAAATAGGTATTTCAACCCACATGCTCGAAAAACTTACAGGGGACAACTGCTCACCCTGACCCCAATTCCGCCCTTGCTTATAGGCCCCAACAAAATAAATATTGCAAGGAAAAAGTACGAATCTACCATGTGGTGACCCGTTAAGCGGCTGAATTCGTTGGTTTTCATACATTTTTTAATTTAAGTAATTTTAAATTAAAAAAGAAAAGATAGAAGTAATTCTTGTTTCCAGCGTGTTCCTTATTTAAAGGTCATTTGGTAACGCTGTTTTTCGGCTTATCAGGTTTATCAGCCAACTTTTTCACCAAACACGTAACTTTTGTTTTTGCGCGATGAATTGTGTAATAATAAGAAAAATTAAGGTTGAAATTACTTTTATAGTTGTATTGGCTGAAGTTAATGACCGTTTTAGCTATTTTTACATATAATTTTTCATTATTTTATTTATAAAATATATTTTAAAAAAAGTTTAAATCAGGAGAATCAGCCAATGCAGCCGCTTCAATATGCCATTCAGCCGAATTAGTTCATTTTCCTGTTACCAAACGGGTTCTTATACTTGGATTTCTCTAGTTAAAATGACATCAAAATGATATTCGTGTTTAGGCCTACATTAACTAGATAGGTGTTGGATGGGACGTCTGAACTCAAGAATAACGTGATTATAAAAATATTCCCATACGCAAAATAAAAATCAGTGAGAAGTATATAAAAGCAGACCTCAGGCGACTCAGAGGCATTACAATGAAATGTCTCGGGCCTAATTGATTCTGAGATATTCTCTGACAGACGCTTGCTAACAAATAATCTTGATTTTCCACCTGAAATCATCCACCCAAATTATGAAAATTACACCTTTACCTCAAGAATTAATGTATTTAAAGGGAAAACATAAACACTAAACCTGAGAAGTAAGGTTTTCCTGGAAAATGATCGAACTGGGAGTGGAGTTCAAGCTTTTGATTGAGAGGATTCAGGAATGAGAGCTGCGCGTTTTTAAAGGCCTGGTGGTAGCGGGGTTGAATGAGACCGCCAGAAAGAAGCATCCTTTTTGTCAATTTCTTAGAACAAAGTGATTGTGGAGAACGAGCGAACACGGCCGGTGAATAAAATCTTACAGAATATGGTGTCGAATTTGGCTTCTCCGACTCCAGGTGAAGTGAGAAGAGGAGTAGGGCAAAAGACGTAGGTTTTGAGGTTAATCAGCTCCTCTGTACGGTACAACAGTAAAGTGGGACGAATTATACTAAAAACATCCTAGAACAACGCACTCTAATAAAACTGACAATAATTTGAATAATTTGAATAATATTTCGTGATTAGAGCCGTTTTCAGATAGGAGCAGCGCAAATGTTAATTTTTTTAACAAAGTGAGACATGTTTTTCAATTCCGGTATCACAGCCGGCAAAGTGAGACATCTAACGCCGTTAGAAAAACCTTATAAAAATGTAATTCATTTTATGAATTTAATGAATTGAGTTGACTAAATTCAAAAGAGATGTTAATTTGATAAAGATTTGATAAAAATTTGATATATAAAACAAAAGACTAAGAATAATTTGAGTTGACCAGGTAATAGTGAACGGCAAGTTAATTTTGTTCACTCAAAATGTAATTCATTTTATGAATTTAATCTGATGGATTAAAAATTACAATAAATCCAAAAAAAGTCATTATATTCCATTTTATCTCCATTCGTAATTGGCACTTCCTTTTAAAATCCTACCTAGTACTCCGTATTAAAATCCTTTTTTATTTTAGAAATTTTATACTGGAGGACAATCCATTAAAATCCAAAAAACACATGCATCTAGCTGATTCCATTTTACTCCCATCAGAATTGCTACTTCCCATTACACTAAAACCATAAAATTGGGTCGAGTATATACGTGTTCAATATTAAATCAAAACTTTTACCTAATATTGGTGCTCATTTATCCTATAAAACTCATTCCCCATCCTCAAATTTGTAATACCATAAAAAATACTTTTTTCTCTCTTAATATATTTAATATATAGCACTCCGTATATACAAATGTCTAGTGAAAGTGTTGTTATGGTTCATTGGAATGGCTCTACATTTGAAAAGGATGATGAAATAGAGTACTCCTAACCTCCTAGGGCGGTACTATTCATTAGCAAAGATGATGATTTTACCAGTATACACGAGACTATTCTAAATCGTGTTAGAGGTGATGGATTTTCCGAAATTAGATTAATTTGCTGAAAATTGTCAAAATATAAGAACTTGGTATATGTTGTTGCGTCTAGACTGTGCATCTAGATTACTTGCAGGGTAACTTGTGTTTAGCAATGGGGATGAATTAAAAAATAAAATAAAGTAATCAATGTTTTTTTATTTATTCATTTTAAATAAATTGCATGGTATGTATTACTTCAATTCCAAAAAACTGATTTTTTTAATTAAAAAAAATCATTCAAAGGGATGGTGCCAATTCGGAATTTAAAGCATTTTATTAAAAAATCCGAACTTTTTTCAGCCCCCAGTTTTTTCAAATCACTTCATTACAAATAAAGCTGAATTTAAAAAATAAAATATACACCTTGTCGGAATTGGTGTATCCGACCACTAGCCCAACCTTTTCTTTTTTAAATCCCTAACTCCAGTCAGAAGAGCCTATTCCGACTCCCGTTTTTTGGAAACCCTAACTTTTTCCCCGTAATTTGGCAAGGGATGTTGAAGATTCCCGTGTTTTGGTAAATCACCCAAAATGTGCTACGCGCACCTCATTCTCGTCAAAACCGGACATATGTGTCCTCTTCGTATTAGTTTATTACTCCGTATTATGTACTCCGTATTACTCCTCCGTCCCGTTGGGATGTTCCCGGTTTGACCTACACATATATTAAAGAAATAAACTTACCAGAGGGTAAATTTTACTGTTTTAACATTGTTTGACACTGTTTGATGTAGAATAACTTTCCATTTAAGAAAATGAGAACTTCTTTTTGGGACATCCAAAAAAGGAAAGCGGGAACATCCAACGGGACGGTGGGAGTAATAATAATACTCCCTCCGTCCCGAAAACAACCTCTCCGTTGGACTTTCACACACTTCTAGAAAATAAATTTGACTTTACTGTAGAGTGCACTGTTTTGCACTGTTTAAACACTGTTTGGCACTGTTTAAACACTGTTTGGCACTGTTATTTGGCACTGTTTATCACTTTTTTTTATGTAGATAATTTGCCAAATAAGGAAAGTATTGAAGTGTGAAGTTAATTTTGGGACATCCATTTAAGGAAAGTGGAAAGTTGTTTTTGGGACGGAGGGAGTATTAAAAATAGTGTGCACCTCAGTTTAATTATGTCCTCGCACACCTTGAGATAGTAGACATGGTTTGCTTTTTGTTTATTTAAAAAAGTAGACATCTTTGGGTGGAATGCTCTCTCCATTTATTTTTTGACAGATTTTAGGGGCCTTTTATCGAAATTAGTTGAATTAACAGATTGACTGATTGAAGTGATTGGATTGGCTTATGAAAAAATTATATTTAAAATATTTTTATTGATAAAATAAATAAAAAAATTATATGAAAAATGACTAAAATGATCTTCTGCAGTAATTTCAACCAATACAGTCTGAAAAGTAACGTCAACCTTATTTTTTTATTATTGCACAATTCAGAGCACGAAATCAAAAGTTATGTGTTTGGTGAAACAGTTGGTTGAGTGATAAGCCTGATAAGTCGAAAACAGGGTCACGAAACGGGCTCTAGATGTTTTGACCGTCCTCCCTAGACCAGATCAGTCCATCAAACTTCAATACACATAAAACAGACATCAACTAGATCAGACCAGACTAGACCAGATCATACTTAAATAGACTTGATCAGGTTAGATCATACTAGATCAGAAAATTCCAGTCCAATAAAAACCCCCTTATTGAAATTATGAATGTAAATTCATGAATCTTAATAAATAATTTATGTAAAATTAAAGTGTATATTTCAAATTTCAATTGTGTCTTGTTATAAATTAATGTCTCCTTTATATAGTTTAAAATGTTGGATTAATAAATTTTTATTTATCTAAGTTTGATTTAGGATATGTTTATAATGGTTTTAATTGGAATGATTTTGATCCATGTAGATTTAAACAAATTTGATCATACCAGACTAGACTTAAAGAATAATAAATTTTACATTTGGCAGCCGTTTGTCTAATCACATTAAACAGACATGATCAATTTTTATCTTCAAAATTCACATATGTAATGTTAATGTCATATGAAAGATCATAAAAATTTATTTGATTAAAAAGTTATTATACTTCATAATAAAATAATTTGCCACGTGACAACAAATTGGATGAGAAGACAAATTTATAATTGACATGGTATGAGTATTGTCGTGTTAAGTTGTTAACCTCCTACGTAACATTTATTAAACTCAATTTTAATTGAAAACTCCGTTATTGAGAAGGGCAATATAGTCTAGGCATGGTTACATAAAGTAATACGAGGGGTGCGCCTAGCAACGCCCTTTACATAAGGGCACCCACTTTGGGTGGTCAATGGGGATAAAAAACAAATTAAACCAACTTAGGTTATGTTCTGCACAACCAACTGTAACTAGAGGCTAATGTATGAATTAAGGCTATTGTCTGAATCAGATAATATTGTGTGGAGCTGAATTCTGATATGCTGAATTTGAATTGATAGAGAATGGAGTAGATCCGTTTGGCAAAAAGAGCTGAATAATTGTCCGGATAATATGAAATTACATTAAAGGACATATGATTTATTAATTGAATAAAATATTTAATATAATGATTTTTATATTTGAAATAATACTCGTGGCCATTGTTTCTCCTAAACGTTTAGGGTTGGTTTGCAACTGCTTTTAAAAAAGCACTTCTCAGCTGTTGGCTTTAAAAAGGCACTTATTTTTCCAAACACTACAACTTTTATTTTTCTCGACTTCCGCGTCAAAAGTGCTTTTACTTTTTCTATTACACAAAAAGCACTTATTTTACCAAACACTACCCGCTTTTACTTTAAAAAATCACTTTTTTCTCAAACACTATCAACTTTTACTTAATCACTTCTCCCCATTTCATTAAAAAAACACTTTTTAAAAAGCAGAAGTTGTTGCAAACAGACCCTTAGACCTCCCTTCTAGGGAATTGATTGAATTAGCAGTAACTCTTGAAGAAGATGAACAAAACATTAGATTCAATTGATTGAACTAGTAGCTCCCTTCTCCTAAAACTTCTCTTTGTTTCTTAAGGTTCGAATTTCACTGGACCACTACTCAACAACCGCTGCAGAGAAGATGATGATTGGCTTCTTCTTTCTGGTAAGTTTTTTAAGAAGATGATAGCTTGCTCATTGGAATCCAATTGACTATAACCATATAAGGTTGCCCACTTCCATCACAGTCTTTTCCCCTAATTTTCTATCAAAATTGCTCTTTAATTTGTACCGTACCCACCCTATACACACTACATATACCCAAAAAATTACCCCCTCATCACTTCACTCACATCTCACTCCCCACAGACCCACGTTTCTCCCCCCTCTTCTCCTCATTCTTCTTCTGCGATCTGTCTCCCAGCCTACCGCTTCTCCTTTTCTTCTTGTTAAGTTCCATTCCCTCTTCTCCTCATTCTTCTTTTATTTATTTTTGCACCAGCACAAAGGCTCGGCCGATTCACCCACCAACACCACATTTTTGTCCTTTCCCCATTGCAGCCCTCTAATCTATCCTCCTCAAATCCGAGTCCAACACCAACGACGAGGACTGTAATCAATGCAACGGTGAGGATGAGACGGTCGATTCGCCTCTCGAACAAGAAGCCCCAATCAACCCGCCCTTTTTGAGGTAATAATCTATTTCGATTTTTCTACTTGTATTTTAGGGTTTTATTTATTTAAAATTTCTGAGTTTTTTTTTTTGTATATTATATACGGTTTAACACTTAATTGTTCAGTACTTTGTATTATTGTAAGAGAATGTAGTGTTAGTTATTGAAATTTTAGTCCAAAACTTTTACTCTTTTTTTGTTAATTAGTTCAAAATTCAAATTTTCTTGTTTCCCAATTTAAATAATGATATAGTTATTTTTACAGATTCCAAGTATATGTTTGATGCAATGACTATTCAGAGAAGTTGGAAGTTATCCATTATTTGACATTTTTATTGAAAGTTTGAGCAAAACCAAGTCAGCAATCCTGTGTTAACAAAACCGGACCGGATTGGGCGGTCCGACCCGAA